CGACAGTCTGTTAGTCTTCGTTTAAGTGATCAAGGAGATGGCTCACATTCGGAATTTGTCACTTATACTGGGAACTTACCCCCTTCCGCCCTGTGATCCTGCTGATAATTATGAGTTAATGTTATGGATAAGTGTTATTCTGTTAGATACGTGACTGTCATATGCTATACGTGACTGTCATTATGCTGCACCTCTGCTTGCTTTGATGCCTAAAAGTTAGTTTAGTTCATTTATTATGCACCCCATACCCATAGGACAATAGGACAGGAAAAGCAGTTCAGTGATTAATGTAATACCTTTGTGAGAGAAGACAGTCACGTCAGTGAGAGACCTCTGAACGGTGGGATGTTACCAGCAGCATACATCATCAGCTCATTATTTACCTCAGTTTATTAACACTAGTGGCCTCGACGAGGACAGGAAGCCGGCGGCTTGTTGGAGGTCCCCTCCCCCCATTTGCCTTGATCTTTTCCAGTTGTGCTTTAAAATCACTTTCATGGGGGTCTGACAGTTGAGTGAACAGCGCTCGGAGTTCGTACTCCTAAGGGTCCGGGTTCGATCCCCGGCGCAGGCGGAAACAAATGGGCAGTTTCTTTCACCTTGACGCCCTTGTTCACCTAGCAGTAAATAGGTGCCTGGGAGTTAAACAGGTACTTCATGGGGATGTGTATATGTGAAAATTAGGATTAAGAATTTTCCCGAAACGCTATGCGTGCTAGTGGTTTTACAAGAATGTGAGAACTCTTATATATAAATAAATACAAAAAAATTAACAGTCTTGGCATTTACAGTTTAGGCGCGTAGGCAGTTTCATGGCCACTCTTCAGGTCAAAAAAGGTGTCCAGCAGCTGGACAGCCTCATAAACACTGTCAAGCCGTATCTCCCCCCCCCCCCCCCCCCGGTAGCAGCCACATACTAAGGACTGGCGGTTAAATGCACACTCAACACTTAGTATATCCTTTCATGACCAAAGCTCACATTCATTTCACAAATCTACCACTTACGGGCTATTCATGCCCGTGCCACCTCTTCGATGGCTTAATCTTCACCAATCAATCAATCAATCTATTCATCGTCCACGCAAACTACATACCAGAGGGAAGTCTCCCTCTTAAATTATTTTTTCTGATAATGCACAAATTATATCCCCGTGGCGTAGTAGTAAGACACTCGCCTGGTGTTTCGCGAGCGTTTTGTCCTGGGTTCGTATCCTGGCCGGGGAGTATTTACTGGGCACAAATCCTTAAATGTAGCCTCTGTTTAACCCAACAGTAAAATTTGTACTTGTTTGTTATATTATTTGGCGAGGTCGTATTCCGGGGAAAATAGGATTAAGGACCTGCCAGAATCGTGCGTGCTAGTTGCTGTACAAGAATGTAAGAACTCTTGTATAAAAACAACCTCTCCAGACACCAAACAGAACGCTTTAAAAGAGACCAACGTCGTCTATGCCTTCACATGCCTACTTGAGGACTGTCAGCCCCAAAGATCTCAGTATATGCAAGGCAAGATCACAACGTCTCTCTCTCTCTCTCTAGGCGATTAACAATGCACAAGCAACAGGGATCCATCAAGGAGCATATAATCTCCTCACACAACCAGACCATCACCAGAGACATCTAACAGGCAACACTGAAATAATCGACAACAGAAGATTGGATGACCAGACCACACACTAGAATGTGAAGGGACGACGACGTTTCGGTCCGTCTGGTCATCATACTTTAGCCACGTTATTGTGACTCATCGCCTGCATATAGAAGACTGGACATCAGCGAGGCGCTGCACATCAAAAAGTCAAGACCAGCAGTCAACAACTAGTTAACACATAATTACATCCTACCCACTTCAAGATCCTAAGCCAACGCACAGACAGGATCCATTGACTCTGCCTCAGAAACACAAGTAGCCACAAGAACATAAGCTGCGTATGTTGATGAATGTAATACCCTATCAATATCCCCTGTTGTGCCATTGATTCACTTGTTCTGCACCACCTCACCCAAAGAAACTGTAAGCCTGTGCAAAAGTGTGGTAAACCACAGGAGTTACAGCCCCGCTCCTGTGCCAGGTAAGTCAAGCTCACCATAGCCCGTAGTGGTATGGCTACTTGGAACTTTTTGTTCCTAGAAGCTGAATCTTAAACAACAACAAGCATGGTAAACAAGATTCAGCACCGCTCCTGTGCCAGGTAAGTCCACTACGGGCTTTGTTGATACAAAGAGTGCTTAAAGGTTATGGATCTCTTGAAGCTCCTCCGCTTCCAGACAGGAACCGAGGATGCAGCAGGCGTTTTCCCTCTGGATCGCCACACTGAGGCGCTGAAACAAAAAACTGGCAGCTCTTGGGTCCTGGTGACGCCAATGAGCTTGGAGCCCAATTCCTTGAGAAATCCCAAGGCACTCTTTCCCCAGGGGCCATGCGTCTCAGACGCTATGGGAACAAAGGTGTATCGACCTTCCAATCGCCTGTATTTGTCTGATTTTGCTATTTCCCTGTGGTTGGCCTCCCCGCCTGCTTGATCAGCACCGAAGTGTACATAGGTGTCAGCCAGGGTGGATACACATATGTAGTCCCACACCAACTGTCTAACCCCCTTCCAGGAGTATATGGTGATTCCATCAGGGCGAAGTGCGGGGAAATCCGGGTTTTGGTCCCCTAGGATGCGAGGTTCTCTCTCCACTGGGTAGTGAGCTGAGACAAGGCTTCTCTTGATGATGTCATTGATCTCGTTGTGTCTTGCATGACAGCCCTTTGTGCTTCCCCAATGCAACCCATGCAGTCCATATTGGTCTGCTTCCACCCTGTTGCAAATATACTTGTATTAATTAAGTGTGAATTGGGGCACCAAGGCGGAGGGCCACTGCTATACGAAGGGATTCTGGATCTAGGTGCGTGCCCATTGCCGACATGGTTACTGCCAGGAGGAAGTCTCCTGCATGGGGGGGGGGGGGGGTCATATGGCCACTGCCTTTTGACGAAAGGCGGTGGAGTTTCTGATGGGGAAGGAAGAGACAATTGCGCATCGCGTTCCGCAAGGCGCGGTGCGGCCAGCCTGGGTGGCATAAAAAGCGCGGGAAGTCAGGTCTCGCCCTCACTCCCTCTCCCGTCCCGGTCCACGATTCACGAAGCCGCCTGATTATTCTCCAGCTAGGGTTTCCCTTATGTTATGTTGTTCACTTTGGTGTCCTGTTATACTTAGAATTAGATTTGTTACATTCGCCTCACTGCTAATTCTAGACATTAGGACATTAGGTTTCTGCAGAGTTTGTTACTAGGCTACAAGATTACGTTATTTTACTACGGGTGTACAATTTAAGATGTTTCGTGTACTTTGAGTTAGCCACGGCTACGTTATACATTTGTTAAGTCCTGTTTAGAAGCCTGTTTTACTTCTGCAGAATTATTTATCATGTTTAATAAAAATTAACGCCCCCATGTGTTGGTGTCTTCCTTCCCCTGATCAGAAAATACTGCTCTAAGGCGGGCGTTCTCCTTGTCTGATGTTGTGGCCCTGAGCATGGCATCAGCTATTTTTTCTATTAGTGGGTGGTCCCAGCCGGACTGCTTGTATTTTTTTATTAGTTCTATGATGGGTGCTGGGACATACCTTCGACTTTTGAAGGTATGTCAGCTATTAGTATATGCATCAGCACATTGGACTAAGGCCTTCCCTGCGGTGTGCCCAATTCAAAGGAGACATTATAGCTGGGAGGTCCGGAGCTAATGTACTCACCTAATTGTGCTTGCGGGGGTTGAGCTTTGGCTCTTTGGTCCCGAGACGAATCATGTGGACGAATCTTGTTACTATAAATGACTACAGCTACTCTTAACCTCTTTATAGATGACTGCGGCAGTTCTATTACTCAAAAATCCCTAATCCATTTCAACAAATATCCCCTGACTTCAAAAAAAGCTAGTTGCTCTAGGATGAGTTCCCTATTAGCTGTGTCAAAAGCAGCTTGGAGGTCAAGAAAAGCTACGTGAGTGTTTGGTTCCTGTCTGATGAAGTACTCAGCAAAGCAAGATTGTGTACTTCTCGAAGGAAGAAAGCCATGCAAGTTAGAAGCAAGTTGATTTTTTATTTTCAACATTAGCCTACTGAGAGCAATCCTTTCAAGGACCTTGCACATGCAAGAAGTTAAAGATATCGGCCTAAATTTATTCGAGTTTAGCTTAGGTACAGGGACTATATGAGGCTTTGGGTCCAACGACCCAGACACCTTGGTGTAGACTTTGTGTGTACAGTTCTAGCAGCGGACTATTAGGTATGTCAGCAAGAAGCCTTGGGGTACTGTACGTTATGCCATCATCTCCAGGAGAAGTTGCTCTGCCTTTCTTAAGTGCAGTTTCAAGCTCAAATGGAGAAATGTCATAATCATCATCTAGATCCATTTCACTACAGGCAATTTCAATATTAAATCCCTATTAACATTAGTACTATAGCAAGAGGTTGTATATTTTGGGGCAGATTCGATATGGAAGCAGTTTTTAATTAACAAGCTTAGGTATACACAGCAATGTGCTGCTACCCTATTCTATATGAAAGGTTACACAGTGTAGATCAAAAACTAGCTATAAGTTCATCTAATATTCCCCATTATGTGCCTCTGTAACCCTTTCCACTACCGCCCACAAGATGGGTATGGGGTGCATAATAAATGAACTAAACTAAAACTAATATTCCCATCTCACAGGTTGGTTAGTCATAGATGGAATCAGGGGAACAAATATCTGCCTCAATACAAAAACAAATCAACTCTGACTAAACAATTAGTTATAAGTTTATCTAATTCATGTTTACATACTGTTCTAGCAGCATGAGATGATGATGAGGGAACTCTGTGGAAATAACTATAGCATCTGGCTTCCTTAAATGAACCCATTTAAAATATATTATGTCATATGGCATTTAAAAGTTCTTTTCATATAGATGAGATACGTGGTTACATGCTCTATTAACAAATATACAATTAGCATAAGCTCTCTACCCTGTGAAAATAATCATTTGTTGTAGTGTTTTGATCGTGTGGAGTTGTCAAAAGGCATCGCTGCCAGCCAGCGTCAGGAGGCAGCTGAGTGTCCTCGCCATGACCACCTCCCTCGACCCCCACGATACTTGTTTACACCGCTCACACTCTTTAATAGGTAGAGTGATGTGCAGCCTGTGGGCTCAGCTGAGCCTTCTTGCTGCGTGTGCTCCTTTCTCTCTCTTGAGTCCACAGTCTTTCTCATTGTTAAGACTATATTTATCGTTAGTATAAGCTGTGAACCTTGTCCTGTGTTAGGGGGAATGTGGTTATTTGGGGTATGCTCTCCATTCGCTGAATGAATGCCCATGTCCAGGCCGAAGAGCTGGCGAAGGACAAAGAAACACGATGTGTGTGACCCACGTTGTGTTTCACTTGGAGGACCCGTGATTTACAGGTGCTCTAGTATTTACAAATCCTCCCTTGCTGTTGAATTCCTTACCCCTTACCTCACTGTGCTTTCAGGGCAAAGGGGAGGCTCGTACACGGAGGCTTTGCAGTCTCCGTTGTGTAGTGGTAAGACACTCGCCTGGCGTTCCGCGAGCGCTATGTCATGGGTTCGTATCCTGGCCGGGGAGGATTTACTGGGCGCAATTCCTTAACTGTAGCCTCTGTTTAACGCAACAGTAAAATGTGTACTTGGATGAAAAAACGATTCTTCGCGGCAGGGGATCGTATTCCAGGGACCATAGGATTAAGGACTTGCCCGAAACGCTACGCGTACTAGTGGCTGTACAAGAATGTATGTATGTATGTATGTACTGTATCCCCATCACACTCCCTCTTGCAAGATGGGTTCTTCCCTTTGTGGGGCTCTATGCACTTACAATAAACAAATGATGTATACCTTCACAGAAGATACAAACATTGAAGACTCGTGTTTGCATTGACACATGTAGACAAGTTTGGATGCGTAGGGGTTGAATCAATATGATTAAGACAATTAATTATTACAGTATTATACTTTTATATCATTAAGTTTTATGATAAGTCTTGCCGTTACAGACATAACAAGGCCAGGTCCCAAATTTGCACAGTATAATAACAACATACTGTAGTGAAAGATACAGAAGGAAATGCAGGATAAAACCAATGAGGAGTAGAGATGCCTTAGGCACACTCGGAGAACACTATCTGAACATCGGGGATCGATATCTGTTCAATTCTCTTCCAACAAGCATTAAAAATATTGCCAGCACAAAGATATATTTATATAAAAAATAGTTAGGTTCTTGAAAGAAGTGACGGACCAACCAGTTTGTAGTGGATGTGTGGGCCTGTGGCTGCTTCAAGCAATGCCCTGTTAGACTAGGTTATTACACCCTAGGTTATTACAAGTTGAGCCTGGCCTGAGTCCAGGCAAGTTGAGTTGAGGAACTCGCCTCACGTTTGGAGTCCCCGTGGTGCAGTGGTAACCACTCAACCGGCGCTTTGCAAGTGCTTTGGCCTGGGTTCGTATCCTGGCCAGGGAGGATTCTCTTGGCACCAATCCTTAACTGTAGTCTCGGTTTACCCAACAGTGAATGATTACCTGGTTGATAAACGATTTGTCAGGTCGTATTCCAGGGAAAATTAGCATTAAGGACCCGCCCGAAATGCTGTGTGTGCTAGTGGCTTTACAAGAATGTAAAAAACTGTGACTACTGGGACCCCCTCTAGGTAAAATCCCACATGAAATATGTGGATGGAAAGAACAATTCATTAAAAGTATACAGTAGCATCATCAATCCTAATACAAAATTGAATGACATACGTAAGTTAATAAGAATTCTGTAATACTGTATATTCAAAATATTTTTTCAGAGACAGCTTTTCCTGAGTGATCATCTTGTATAAGTATTGGTTAATAATTATTAGTAGATAAAAAAAAGCCATGTAGAGCATGGTTTTTCCTTTTATTTTTTGCGTAGGTTAAAATTGGCAGTCTTTATGCACTAATTATTTACATTCTTAGTAGTTTAATTTTTTTTAAAGTCATGGAGAAAATGTTCCATAAAAAAACACAATGGAATGTAAGCTATAAATTCAAAATCCATGGGTATATACAATGAAAAACTGCTGGTATCCAAAGTTTGTGTAAATGAACTTATGCCAAGAAATGGGACATATTTTCCACATAATCATAGCAGTATAAACATGTAGCACACATCTATAGCCTATTTCCCACCATTTCCATGCCATGCAGAGCAAAAACAAAAAGTGACAAAAATATATTGACAAAAAGGATTCCTTACCGTGAGGTGTTTTCGTGGCTTAGCGTCCCCATGGCCCGGTCATCGATCAGGCCCTCTAGGTCCCAAATATTGACAAAAGGGTAGGTCCCAAATATTGACAAAAGGGTAGGTCCCAAATATTGACAAAAGGGTAGGTCCCAAATATTGACAAAAGGGTAGGTCCCAAATATTGACAAAAGGGTAGGTCCCAAATATTGACAAAAGGGTAGGTCCCAAATATTGACAAAAGGGTAGGTCCCAAATATTGACAAAAAAGGATAGGTCCCAAATATTGACAAAAAGAAGTAGGTCCCAAAATGGACCCTTGTGGCACCCCGCTTATCACATATCTTCATTCAGATTCATTTCCATTTAGCACAACCCTTTGTTTTCTTTCCTTCAACCATTATTTTATCCATTCTAATATTTTACCATTTATTCCTTGTGCCTGTAATTTTCTTGCCAGTCTTTCATGTGGTATCTTATCAAAAGCTTTAGCAAAATCCATGTATATTATATCCACCGGAAGGCCTTTTTTCGGAGTAGCTGGTTATCGTTTCCAAAAATGTGAGCAAGTTTGTAAGGGAGGACCTGTTTTTAACAAATCCTGTTGTCAGTTGTACAAGGTTGTTCACTGAAAGATAGTGAATGATTCCCTCCCTGAGGATTCTCTCCATGAGTGTGCAGATGTGTGATGTCAAGCTGATTGGCCGGTAATTTTATGCCAAGTTCTTTCTGCATTTTTTTGAAAACAGGGGTAACATTTGCATATTTCTAATCTAGGGGGACTACCCCTTGTTTCAGTGATTTTTAAACTCCTGATATTATTCCTGGGGGTCTGATTAATAGATTAATAAAAGATTAACAGTTGGTAGTTTCCAGGGAATGAGTCAATAACTGTGGGTCTGGACACAGGGTTAAGATTTTTTTCAAAAATATGAAAACACAACCCAAAATTACTTTTTCACTCTACCAGGTCTGTGAGTAAAATGCTTCTGGGAGACACCATTCAGCTCCTCTAGAAAAAGTCTGATACAGTACTCTTACACCGATACAGGCATACCTCAGTTTAAGAGTTTAATTGGTTCCTGGAGACGCCTCGTATTCCGAAGCTAATTTCCCCATAAGAAATAAAGGGAAATGAATTAATCCGTTCCTGACTACCCCAAAAACCCCACATCAAACTAAATTTTTATACCTAATTCATCTAAATATACCTACAAAACTATGTTCAAGTTATTACTTACCTTGCTGTTGAATGCTGTAGGTGTATGGAAGATGGTGAGGAGGGGGGAGGAGGAGAGGAGTTACTGTTTGGAAGGGGAGTCCCCTTCCATTATCACATCAGGCAGTGAAGACCTTTCTGGTGTGCTATCCCTGGGACGTTTTATCTGAGTGCCACTAGGTCCTGGTTGAGGCTCACTGCTCGATTTCCTCACCACAAATCTGTCCAAACCCTGGCTTTCTCACAAATAATGGCCTCCGAAACACTGTCACCCCCTTAACTCCTTGTCGTGTATCCAAATTAATAACAACTTTTCCACTTCTTCAAGTATTTGTGGTCTTTGTTTTGTTATTGTTCTGACTCCTTTTGCCACTTTAGCACTCGTAATCTCATTTTTCTTCTTAAGTATAGTGCATATTGTTGATGTGGCTTTGTTGTACTGCCTACAAAGTTCAACAACACGTGTACCGTTCTCATGCTTCTGAATGATCTCTTGTTTCTCCTCTATTGTCATCCTCACATGGGCTTTCTGGCCTTTATCCTTACCACTGGCTTTCTTGGGACCCATGGCGAGATATATAATAACAAATTGTATAGTCAAATCACCAAAAATCCAACAAAACACTGAAAATCCGCGAGAAGAATTGATGTGGGGTAGTCACTGGGCGCGAGACAATGGTAAACTGAGGGGCTGAGGGGTGGAGGGGCGACGATCGCCGAACCACCACGCGCTGGGTCGGCCTGTACGCGTATCAACAAACTCGTGTCCCGAGGTAACCCTCACGTTCCGAGACATATTTTTCGAGGAAATCCTGCTCATATTCCGAAAAACTCGCATACAGGGACACTCGCATTCCGAGGTACCACTGTACTTAATATTTTTTAGTTGATAATTTGTAAGACATAAGGCTTCCCGTGAGTCCATTAAAAGAAACTGTTAAAAGGACTCCTCAGTAATTTAGAAGAATTTAGTACTGTATCTCGTTGTAGTTCATCTCTGACATGCACAGTTAAGTGAATTTTGAGGAGAAAGGTTTCAAGACAGGTAGGGGCATGAGTAGGGGTGGGAATATGGGTAGGGCAGGAAAATAGTTTGGGTAGAAAAAGGGGGTAGATGGGTTGAATGAAGGCATGTTTGGGTGGGAAGTTAAGATTGGTTGGGCAGAAGTACTCAACACCTAATTGTGCTTGCTGGGGTTGAGCTTTTGCTTTTTGTTCACATCTCTCAGCTTTCAGTTAACTGGCATGCAGGTTCCTGAGCCTATTAGGCTATGTCATATCTAAAATGAAGCTTTGTATGGAGTTTTCTCCACCACATCAATTTCCAGTGCATTCCATTTGTTTCTATGACACAGGAAAACTGTCTCTATACCTCATTTGGACACTTAGCTCACATCTGTGTTCATCTGTTCATGTACCACCTATTCCAAATAAGCTGTCATTGTTTGTCCTGTCAGTTGCCCTTATAATTTTTATTTAATCTCTTCTCCCCTAACTTCTGTCTTCAAGTGATGAGATATGCCTTTTAATCTTTGCTCATTGGTCACTGATCCTTAACTGTTCACCCAGCAATACTTAGAGAGATGGTTGCAAAATGATTGACAGATCATGTTCCAAGGAAAACTGGCAGGGTAATGCTGTGAGAGGGAGAACTTATTCTGTTAGTTGTAGTCAGAAGTCGTCTGGTCCTGTTCCCACCTGTGTAAAAAAAAAAAAAAAATTATTGGATAACTGTTTTGAATAAAATTTTATCGACATATACTGCAAAAATATGCTGATGCCAATATATCAGTACTGTACATTTCTACTGATAAGCATCATATATCATCCTGCTAGGATGCTATAGTCTCTGGCATTGTTCACTAAAAACCTGCTGACTGCCCAGCAAACCTAATGCCAGAACAGTTGGATCATGTTCCTTTGGGAGGTGCAAAATGGTTTGCTCAAAAATGTTTTCCCAACTCCGAGCCTTTTATTTCTTGGTTTTAATATGCTGTATATATATTTTTAATACTGTATTTTAGAAATAATAGTTTTCATCTCGTCAACAGGAAATGGAGTTCAACAATGTGGAAATGCTTTGGATTGTGAGACAACTCCAAGAGTAAGTTTTTTTATGTAATTAATTGTTTGTGTAATAGTTAAAACAAACAAGTTAGCAAGTGACTTAAATAATGTAGTTACTAGTGTAGTACTGTATGTGCTTGGAAGATGCTTTAATGTTACATCATTTAGCTCCAATTTTTTTTTATACCACTCCATCGATGTTAGTACAGTATATATGATTTTTAAGAACATGTTTCCACTCCCCTTGACCTTTAACCTTTAAACCACGCAAAACATACTTATACGATTTGACATAACTCGAGTTTTTAAAACGTGCACAAACACTTTCCGATTTTTTGTCCATAATCAACTAGGTAAATGCTCCAACATAGTCTAAATGATTACAACATAACTTGAAAAACAAGAGAATCAAAATTAATTTTAAAATTGTATACTGTATTAAAAACTTCAGATTTTCAAATCGGAATAAAAAATATAAACTATCGCCAATTGTTCATTTGGTGTTGTTATACTCTCAAAATTGCATATGATCTTCATTTTCATCAAATTTGAATGTAGGTTTCCAGTATAGTTTACTGTAAAAAAAATTGTCAATATGGCATATGAAATATGCAGCAAATTTAGACAATTTTTTTTTTAACTCCAAATGTATAAAAGTTTATGAAAAATCCATTCTGAAGGGATTGTAGAACAGACAGCTGAGCACACAATATGTCAAAAAAGTGAGAATCGGACAAAAATTAGAATTTTAGAACCCACTCAAAGTTGTAACTCTAGTTTCAGAAATAATTGAAGTTATCAACAATGAATAAAGGTAGTTTTAATTCGTTAATTTAATTGTATGTTTAATAAACATTGTTTGGCATTCGTACTCGAATATGTAAAAGTTGTAGGTCAATATGTGTTGGAATGAAGTCAAGAAAAAATAACCCCAAAAAAACACAAAATATCGGGATAATTATAATGATTTAAGGGATACGTTTAGGGGGTATACTTTATATAAGTGAAAAAGCCCTAATATGGTCCCTAATCATCAAAACAACCTAGAGAGACAAAGAAAATAGTTTGAAAACTGATAAAAAATAAGCCCCCCCAAAATTAAAAGTTCCAAGTTCTGTGAGTTGACTGATTTATTTGTTGACCAATTTCATTCTATCTTCAATAGTTAGGGACGGGTATGCACTCTCCAGGATGTAAAGATTACAACAAAATCAGATAATAAACAAAGGAGAAAAACTAAACTCTTAAAAAAATAAATAAATCTCCTAAAAAAATATTTTGGGACATTGATGAAAGTAACATATTAACATTGGACAATGTATTTATATGATATATAACAAAATAGAGCATAACAACATAGTTACTCATTATTATTTGTGTTATTATGTTTTACTCGGCAATACTATAATGGCATCGACTGCATATCCACTTTGTGGACACTTCTTACTACTATTCTTTGAGTGTCGGACAGGTGTTTGCATCTCTTTATTACTGAATTATCCATCAGTTCCAGTTAATAGCTGTTCTTAACAAAATGTTCTTATTTTTTAAAAATTCGTCTAAAATCAATTTCTGAAAATATTTTGACGAGTCTCATGACACTGAAGCCAATAAGTTGGAGATTTCTTTAACATTTTTAAATTATTTTTACATAATTTGAATATTTTCGCTTCTGGGCCCCATAATACAGTATGCGCGGTTTAAGGGTTAATACTCTTCCTCAAATGATTTCGTTGGTTTGCTATTGTGTACCATTTTACAGACTTCCCAATCTCTATGACTTTGTAGAATTTTTTGGGGCTTCTTCCTCACTCCTACCCTCATGTAGATGTTTTGCTTCAGTGACATTTAGGTTTAGCTTCTCTATCTTCCTTTGAAAAGTTTTGTGACCATTGTTTCCCATCCTTGTCATTTTCAATTTCCTAGCATTCCTAAGCACTTCTGTCAATTGTGTGCTAGTGTGTGTGTTAGTGTTAATAAACCTGTCCCTGATTACTCTGCATTTTGATACATTAACCTTTGTTGGGTGTGTGCCTCAATAGTGAGAGTCTTCCCTTCCAGGGATTCATACACCTTCCCTTGCTGGACTATGCTGCTTGAAGTTTCATAGGCTGTGATTTGGCATTTTTAAGTGTGGCTGGATCATCCTATAGCTACTGTCTTGCAGTATTCCTTCCCATGTAGATGACATAGGCTTATTCCCTTATTGCAACAATTGTAGGCCTATACATCATGAAAGCTGTAGGCCTCTGCTCTTGTGGCAGCTGCTGATGTATGCCCTCTCAGACCCATTTATACCGTACCCCTCTTGATGAGTTATGATCAAAACATGGAGTTTGTAATTGAATGTGTAGTATAGAAAAGGTGCTGCTCCTTACATCAAGCAGTTCATGAATATTGAAAATGTATAAAAAAAAAAGTATACTGTAAATAAACATATAATTTGAGATATTAGAATATTAGTGGATAAATTTGTCATTTAAGATGGTTATTTGTGATAGTATTTTTTTTCTTTTTTACAGTACTTTATTCGGCCATTTAAGGAGGGTGCAGCCACACTGTCATCATTTCAGACTTTTATCAAAGAAGTAACTTGGCTTTTTCGTCAGCGAGACGCCCAGCAGACACTCTTTCTTGTGGCTATTAACCTCTTGACCACCCTTCTCCTACTTTCATGGTGTCATGCTACATGTAGTATGGGTAAGTCTACTACTGTATTGATTTCTCTGCCCCCTTTCTCTGATTTACATTAAATATGTGTGAATAATTACCCAAGTTGTAGTAACAGAATGAGAGCTACACTTGTTTCACTTGTTGTTGGGATTCAAAAGGTGACACCCCTAGGGTCAACACTTGCAGCAGAGGAACTCCAGCATATTTCAACAATCCTAAGTATTGTAGTACAGGTTGATGGTAGTGAGTGGTGTCCCAGAGAACATAAAGGTATAGTGCTCTTGAAAAATAGGTGAGATAACAGGAAAGTGCTAAGGGAAGTGAAAAATCGGATGAGAAAAAGTTGCCCTAGTGTTTACAGTGCAGAGAAGAACATTCAAGATGGCCACTGGCAAGGGGAAAAACAAAACAGAGCTTGATTTTGAGGGATTCAATGAAGAAAGCATTGATATTAGTAGTCTACATAACAAGTTGGTAAATTTAGATACTATAGTGAACTCTCATGTAGAAATAATTAGTAAATTGAAAGAAAGTAATGACCATTTGAATAGCAAAGTTTTATGTCTTGAGGGTTTAGTGAAAGACTTGCGCAAGGATAAGAATCAATTGGAAACAAATTGCAAAGCCATGGAAGAAGAAAATAAACTCTTAAAAATAGCTTTGGAAGAAGTTAAAGTAAATTTAAACATAAATGACTACAATAGGTTAGGCAAGGAAATTCAACAGGAGAAACAGCTTTTGTCAGCACAGATGGTGGAAGTTACACAGGGAATAGAACAATGCAAGAAAGATATGCAACTCACTTATGCACAAGTGGCCAAGGAGAAGGAAAAAATAGAAGAAGCAGTAAAGGAAGTCAAACACTGCAGCAACTAAGATAAAACAAACATTAGGCTAGAAGTGAGGAAAGAATTGGCATCTAACCCGAAGTTGGTGCAAAACACAGTTGATCGGAGTAAGTCCCTGATCATTTTTGGCTGCAAAGAAAAGGCGATAACATCTAGGTCAGAAAGAGCTGTAGAAGAAGCTAAAGTAGTAGATAAAATTGTTGGCCTCGTGGAAGGTCTTACAAACAGAGAGAATGTGTGCGACTACAGGAGAATAGGCAGGTACGTAAAAGGGAAAGATCGACCTTTGAGGATCACCCTAAACGGTGCCAAACAGATGGAAGAAGTACTAAGGAATGCTAGAAAATTGCAAAGGGATGAGGATGGGAAAGGGTGGTCGTTAAGACGAGATCTTTCAAAAGAAGACAGAGAGAAGCTGAAACTGAACCTCGCCGAGGCAAAACATTTAAATGAGAGCAGGAATGAAGAAGAAATAAATTCTTTTTTCTACAAAGTGATAGGGGTAGGCAAACCAGTAAAGTGGTACATAAAGGCAAACCAACAAAATCAATAGAGAGAGGGGGAGTGAAGAATAAGGAGAGGGGGAACAAGTTCTTGAAGATTGCATACACCAACATAGATGGAGTGAGATCGAAGATACTGGAGTTATGTGATGTAATACAGCTGCAGACACCAGACATTGTTGCACTCACGGAGACAAAACTTGAAGATGTAATTTTAAATGAGGTCATATTCCCAAGGGGCTACTCAATTTGGAGACGGGACAGAAAAATTAGGAAAGGCGGTGGCGTTGCTGTGCTGGTAAAAGAACACCTAAAGGTGAAGGAAATAATGATTGCCAATCCACAAGAAGTTGACATAATAGCACTAGAGATCTGCTATGAGGATGATAAACTAATGATGATAAATGCATATAGTCCACCGCCAAGCAGCACATGGTCAAAGGAGGAGCTAGATAGTAAACGTGAAGGTCTTATAACAATAATGAGAGAGATTATAGCGGGAGCGGATAACGATAGATCACGACTGTTGATAGTTGATGACTTCAACTTGAAATCCATAGACTGGGAAGCATATGAAGCTAAAACAGAAGATTTTTGGACCTGTAAATTTGTAGACCATCCTGGAAACATTCTTGTATCAACATGTTAAACAAGCTACGAGGATGAGGGAAGGGGACGTTCCCTCCATGCTAGATTTGATATTTACCAGGAAGGAGGAAGAGATATTTGACATTCAGTACCTTCCTCCCTTGGGTAAAAGTGACCATGTCTTTTTGGGAATAAAGTATGCAATGCGTTATAAGCTGGAAGAAAATAAGGAGGTTGATGCAGTTGAAAAACCAGACTTCAGGAGAGGACATTATGGTGACCTTAGAAATTTTTTTAGTGAGTATAATTGGACAGACTTGATGCTAGGCAAGGAAGTGAATGAGATGTATGGCAAGTTTTGTGAAATATATGATAAAGGCACAAAAAAATTTATACCAAAACAGAGATGCAGAACTAGGAAACAGGATTGGTTCAATAGAAATTGCGAGAGGGCTAGAGACCGAAAGACACAAAAATGGAATCAATACAGGAAGAGGCCGAACCCCCAAACATACCAGCGATACAAAGATGCGAGAAACAACTACACGGCAGTGAGGAGAGAGGCAGAAAGAAATTTTGAAAAAGGGATTGCGGACAAATGTAAAACAGAACCAGGTCTATTCTATAAATTCATAAACAACAAATTGCAGGTAAAGGATAATATTCAGAGGTTGAAAATGGGAAATAGATTCACGGAAGATGAAAAGGAAATGTGTGAAACACTAAACGAAAAGTTCCAAAGTGTGTTTGTACAAAATGAAATCTTTAGGGAACCAGATACAATAAGAATTCCAGAGAACAACATAGAACACATAGAGGTGTCTAGAGACGAAGTGGAAAAAATGCTCAAGGAGCTCGGTAAGAACAAAGCAGCTGGCCCAGATGGCGTTTCACCATGGGTTCTGAGAGAATGTGCATCTGAGCTCAGCATTCCACTTCACCTGATCTTTCAGGCATCCCTGTGTACAGGAATCGTAGCAGACGGGTGGAAACAGGCTAACATAGTTCCAATCTACAAAAGTGGCAGCAGGGAAGACCCCCTCAATTATAGACCTGTATCATTGACAAGTGTAATAGTGAAAGTATTGGAAAAACTAATCAAAACTAAATGGGTAGAACACCTAGAGAGAAATGATATAATATCAGACAGACAGTATGGTTTTCGATCTGGAAGATCCTGTGTATCGAATTTACTCGGTTTCTATGATCGAGCCACAGAGATATTACAGGAAAGAGATGGTTGGGTTGACTGCATCTATCTGGACCTAAAAAAGGCTTTCGACAGAGTTCCACATAAGAGGTTGTTCTGGAAACTGGAAAATATTGGAGGGGTGACAGGTAAGCTTCTATCATGGATGAAAAATTTTCTGACTGATAGGAAAATGAGGGCAGTAATCAGAGGCAATGTATCGGAATGGAGAAATGTCACAAGTGGAGTACCACAGGGTTCAGTTCTTGCACCAGTGATGTTTATTGTGTACATAAATGATCTACCAGTTGGTATACAGAATTATATGAACATGTTTGCTGATGATGCTAAGATAATAGGAAGGATAAGGAATTTAGATAACTGTCATGCCCTTCAAGAAGACCTGGACAAAATAAGTATATGGAGCACCACTTGGCAAATGGAATTTAATGTTAATAAATGTCATGTTATGGAATGTGGAATAGGAGAACATAGACCCCACACAACCTATATATTATGTGAGAAATCTTTAAAGAATTCTGATAAAGAAAGAGATCTAGGAGTGGTTCTAGATAGAAAACTATCACCTGAGGACCACATAAAGAATATTGTGCAAGGAGCCTATGCTATGCTTTCTAACTTCAGAATTGCATTTAAATACATGGATGGCGATATTCTAAAGAAATTGTTCATGACTTTTGTTAGGCCAAAGCTAGAATATGCAGCTGTTGTGTGGTGCCCATATCTTAAGAAGCACATCAACAAACTGGAAAAGGTGCAAAGACATGCTACTAAGTGGCTCCCAGAACTGAAGGGCAAGAGCTACGAGGAGAGGTTAGAAGCATTAAATATGCCAAAACTAGAAGACAGAAGAAAAAGAGGTGATATGATCACTACATACAAAATAGTAACAGGAATTGATAAAATCGACAGGGAAGACTTCCTGAGACCTGGAATTTCAAGAACAAGAGGTCATAGATTTAAACTAGCTAAACACAGATGCCGAAGAAATATAAGAAAATTCACCTTCGCAAATAGAGTGGTAGACGGTTGGAACAAGTTAAGTGAGAAGGTGGTGGAGGCCAAGACCGTCAGTAGTTTCAAAGCGTTATATGACAAAGAGTGCTGGGAAGACGGGACACCACGAGCGTAGCTCTCATCCTGTAACTACACTTAGGTAATTACACTTAGGTAATTACTTGTGGTGCCCCATCTTCTCTACTGTAAACTATGTCATATAACACATTACACATGGAAATCACAATAGCGTGATGCATCAAATGAACAAATCCACAAGGGCTGTGATGAGGATTCAAACCCACATCCGAGAGCATCCCAGATGTTGCCTTAATCAACTGAGCTACGACATGGTATAAGAATTGCAACCAGAAATTCTACTGAATTTACTTGGATCCTGCAGCCTCTCCGAGACACAAACCAGGATTTTACACAATTTCCCCCGTGCACTCGAGCTATGTCAATAGGTCGTTCTACCTCTTCGCCCTTCCTTCATTACACACAAATCACAATTACATTGTAATTTCTGTGTGTAATGAAGTAAGAGCGAAGAGGTAGAACGGCCTATTGACATAGCTCGAGTGCACGGGGGAATTGTGTAAAATCCTGGTTTGTGTCTCGGAGAGGCTGCAGGATCCAAGTAAATTCAGTAGAATTTCTGGTTGCAATTCTTATACCATGTCGTAGCTCAGTCGATTAAGGCAGTGTCTGGGATGCTCTCGGACATGCGTTCGAATCCTCATCACAGCCCTTGTGGATTTGTTCATATGTCATACAACATTTGTGACCTTCCAGTGGTTTTGGAATATACAGGTACTTTTATTTTCTTAACTTGATTCTATTGCATCTTGTTCTTGATGCAGATTTAAAAATTCCTCTTAT